CCTTCCTAGTTTTCCTGTCACGTCTCCAAACTAAATAGCTCCTTGGGAATATGACTTCATTTATTATATTTCCTTCAAGTTTCGTCTCTGATATCTGGGACCCTAAGCTGGATTATATCTTGCAGCTCCAAAGTTTTTGACCTCTCTCCATCTATGTTGGTATATACAATTTTCAGGAACATGTTCCCTTTTCCTTTGCTCTTTACTCCCCCTTCCACTACTGATCTTGTTGCTTTGTTTTTATGTACCATTTCACAAGCTTTCCAGTCCCTGTCACTTTGTAGAAAAAAAATTTCTGTCTTCTTCATTTCTATCCCCATTTAGAAGTTTTGCCTCAATTAGGTTCATTTTCAGATTTTCTCTGTCTTCCTTGGAGAGGTCTTGTCTTATTGACCAAAGTTTGCCAACCTCATCACTCTGCAATTTCCTGGCATTTCTTAGCACATCCATCATGTTTTTCACTCCATTAAACGTCACCCTTAAGGGGCGGTTCTTTTCTTTCTCATATTTTCCTATTCTTCTAAAATCACTGACATTTTCCTTTGAGCCTTCTCCTAAACCTACTATTTTCTCTATGATTTTCATCTCTTCTGTCGCTCGGTCCACCCTAGATGATATTTCCTTCTCTAAACATCCAAAAATTCGTAGCCTGGTGGATAGCGCGCAGGACTCGTAATTCTGTGGCGCGGGTTCGATTCCCGCACGAGGCAGAAACAAATGGGCAAAGTTTCTTTCACCCTGAATGCTCCTGTTACCTAGCAGTAAATAGGTACCTGGGTGTTAGTCAGCTGTCACGGGCTGCTTCCTGGGGGTGGAGGCCTGGTCGAGGACCGGGCCGCGGGGACACTAAAGCCCCGAAATCATCTCAAGATAACCTCAAGATGGACTTAGTTCTATCTGCAGTGTTTTGTACCAGTTTACTGTTGGTAACCAGTTCTTTCCTAATTGCTTGCCTAATTTCTGCTTCTTGTTGGTCATTTCTGGTTTTGACTTCCGAACACACTTCTTTGATAGTCTCTTTCTCTTTTACAACTTGAGCATATGTCGCTTTTATTTCTTCTTTATACTTTTCTAGTTCTTTATTCACCTCCTCTATGTAAGTTGTCAGTGAAGTTTCCAGTTGGAGATCCTTACCTAACTCTATGTTAGCCCTTAGGCTTGCTTGGAGTTGTTCACCATACGAGTCTATTTTCTTGTTTATTTCTTCAAAGTCACCACACTTCACTTTCCACACCTCATTTTCTTTCACTAGTTCCTTGATTTGCTCCTCCTGATTTGTTACCTTATCTGTTAATGTAGTAATAATCATACCTTTGCTCCTGGCAAAGATGGCATTCCTGCTGAGACCTTGAAGTGCTGCAGAGGTAGCCTGCTCATGGAGCTGCACGAAATTCTCTGCCTCTGCTGGGAAGAAGGAGAGGTGCCACAGGACATGAGGGATGCCAACATCGTCACACTGTATAAGAATAAAGGTGACAGGGGCGACTGCAACAACTACCGTGGAATCTCCCTCCTCAGTATTGTCGGAAAGCTGTTTGCTCGAGTCGCATTGAAGAGGCTCCAAGTACTTGCAGAGAGAGTCTATCCAGAATCACAATGTGGATTCAGAGCTGGCAGGTCCACCATCGACATGGTTTTTTCCCTCAGACAACTGCAGGAGAAATGCAGGGAACAGAAGCAGCCACTCTTTGTAGCCTTCTTAGATCTGACGAAGGCCTTCGACCTCGTCAGCAGGGATGGCCTGTTCAAGATCCTCCCCAAGATCGGATGCCCACCCAGGCTCCTCAGCATCATCAGATCTTTCCATGAGAACATGAGGGGCACCGTGGTCTTTGATGGCCTAACATCAGACGCCTTTGACATCCGAAGTGGAGTAAAGCAGGGCTGCGTACTGGCTCCAACCCTATTCGGGATTTTCTTCGCAGTTATGCTGCGGCACGCCTTCGGATCTGTCACGGAAGGCATTTACCTCCGGACCAGGTCGGATGGAAAGCTCTTTAACCTCGCCAGGCTGAGAGCCAAGACAAAGGTTCGGCTGAGGTGTCTGCGCGACTTCCTCTTTGCCGACGACGCAGCAATCACTGCCCACTCAGCTGAAGACCTCCAACGGCTCATAACCCGCTTCAGCGAGGCCTCTCAGGCTTTCGGACTCACCATCAGTCTGAAGAAAACACAAGTCATGGGACAAGGAGTGGACTCCCCACCTGACATCGGCATCTCTGATTCCAAACTGGAAGTTATTCACGACTTCGTGTACCTGGGCTCCACAATCTCTGACTCCCTCTCTCTTGATACGGAGCTAAACAAACGCATCGGTAAGGCATCTACTACCATGTCCAAACTGACAAAGAGAGTGTGGGCCAACAATAGGCTAACTGAGTATACTAAGATTCAGGTTTACAGATCCTGTGTCCTGAGCACTCTCCTTTATGGCAGTGAGTCTTGGACACTCCGCGCCCGTCAGGAAAGACGGCTGAATGCCTACCACATGCGCTGCCTTAGACACATCTTGGACATCACCTGGCAGGACAAGGTGACAAACAACAACGTCTTGGGGAGAGCAAGAATCACCAGCATGTACACAATGCTGAAACAGAGACGAATGCGCTGGCTCGGGCACGTTGTGCGAATGGGCGACGGCAGGATCCCCAAGGATCTCCTGTACGGAGAGCTGAGGCAGGGAAAGCGTCCAGTAGGCAAGCCCCAGCTACGGTACAAAGACGTATGCAAAAGGGACCTGAAAGCCATGGACGTCGATCTTGCTATATGGGAGACACTGGCTGCAGACCGTTCAGCCTGGAGGCAGTCTGTTCAAAGAGGTTTCTCCAAGTTCGAGGAGTCACTTGCCAAGGAATCGGAGGCAAAGAGACAGAGAAGGAAAGCCGGTAACCAGGAAGACAGACCAGAATCGGACTTCGTTTGTGCTCGGTGTGGGAAGGACTGCCACTCTCGGATTGGCCTCATCAGTCACACCAGACGCTGCACCAGGATTGACAACTAGGGCGCAACTCCATAGTCTCCCGAGACTGAAGGATGCCTACTAATAATCATACCTTGCTGAAGAATACTTCCTTTTAGATTGCAAAGCTCACTCCAAAGAGCTCCATTGTCCTCTTCCAATTTAAGCACTTTTTCTTCATACTTCTTTTGCATATCCTCAATTATCTCTAACCTGCCAAGAACACCTCCTTTCCTTATATCTTGTGGTGAGAATCCTTTGAAGCCATCATCTGTTGGTGTGTCTACAACATCAACAGGTGCATCAGGTTGAAGGAAACTGTGCCCATTTGTTTTCTACCGGTGCCGGGGATCAAACTCCGGTCCTTAGGTCCATAAGTCTAGAGTGATGTCCACTCAGCCACCAGCCGCCTGCAGCTGTGTGGTGTAATCAGGGGTGGTATATCAGTATGGTGTATCTGTATGGTGATCAGGTTATCATGAGGTTAGGGGCTTAGCATCCCCGCTGTCCAGTCCTCGATCAAGCCTCCTTTTTTGTTACACACCCCCAGGAAGCAGCCCGTAGTAGCTGTCTAACTCCCAGGTTCCAATTTACTGCTAGGTAACAGGGGCATCAGAGTGAAAGAAACTGCCCATTTTGTTTCCGCCTCCACCGGGGATCAAACCTGCAACCTCAGGACTACAAATCTGAAGCGCTGCCCACTCAGCTGTCAGTAAGCTTTGTTGATTGTTTCCCACGTGCATGCTTTGTCTCGGTGGCAGTATGAATTTTCCTGGCGATCCTTTCATTTCTTTTTTGTCTCTTCGTTGCTGTACTTCACTTTCTGTTAAGGTTGTTTTGTCCTTTCTCTCGTGACTGTTTCAGGACCGTCAGCTTATGTCGAATACTATCGCCTCGTATCGTGCGGCGTTGGCGAAGCCACTGCAGCTTTTGGCACTGATGTTACTTCTGCGCAGTTTCGCAAGCTGTCTCGGGTGTTGTTTCACCTCAGGCCTGCTCATGTGCCGCCTGAGTCGTCCTGGACAGGGTTCTCTCTTATCTATCTCTCAGTTGACCAGACCACACTAGAAGGTGAAGGGATGACGATGTTTCGGTCCGTCCTGGACCATTCTCAAGTCGATTGTGTGGTCTGGTCAACATACTTTAGCCACGTTATTGTGACTCATCGCCTGCATATCTCTCCTCAGTTTCTTGTGGCCCCTTCAGTTCAGGATTGTTTTTGTAAGGCTCTTTTCTTGTTGGCATTGACCTCTGATGGGCCACGTTGGGGAGCTTCATGCTCTCCTCCGGGGCAGGGGTTTCTGCTCTTTTGGTCGAGGTGATAGGTTTGTTCGTTTACAGCCGTCTCCTTTTTTGGTGAAGAATGAGACTGCTGCTTTTCAAAGGGGTCCTTGGGTTGTTGATGCTTGGTTGGTTAGGCCGGAGTGCATCATGTGTTGTGTCTGGTTTCAGCTCTGCCGTTCTTTGCGCGCCACGACCTCTGTAACTAGGGATGCGCTTTGGGTTGATTCGGTTTCCCTTCTTCCCTGTTCTCGGGTTCGAGTCTCTCAAGTCGTCTGCAGGGTTATTCTGTCTAGCCAGCCTGCGGTCTGTCCCAGTGCCCACGACGTTCGTAAGTTTGCAGCTCTACCTGCTGTCTTCAGTAACATGTCCTTGGCTGACATTCGGGCGCGGGGTTTTTGGCGGTCGAACAGGGTCCTGGCTGCATGCTACCTCATAAATGTTTCTGGGTCTAGTCGGGCCTGTGTTGCTTTAGGTTGGCGGTTGCAGCGTGTTACCTCGTCTATGAGTTGAGGTGCGAGCATCGACCTCCTCCCGGGTAAGTCCCTTTAGTTTTCGTCTTTGGTGATGTAGCTCCGGGGAGCCAAAGAAAATGGTGTTTCATTACATTCAACACTGGTTTTTATCTCTATTTTTTATTTTCAATTCCACGGATACTTTCATATGCTTAATAATAATAGGCACATGTTCTTGAACGCTAAATGCTTGAAAGATTGTTTGGTTCATGTTTTGTAACATCTAACTTTTTTGTTTAATTTAGGCCAGAACCAAGCCAGAACACTGCACTGAGAGACAAATTTGTTTCTGTTGTTGGACCAGTGTTTGCTGGTGGTGATGAAGCCAATATTTTGACACTCTTGACTTCATTAACAAATGTGAGTCGTCACGATGAGGGATTGCTTGTTACACCGACAGTTTCTGGACTCGGCAGTAATGATGACAACACTCCCAGTGAAACTGAAAGTAGAGACAAAGCCTTGGGTAAGAAATTTTGTGGGTAAGGTAAATTTTTAAGGAAGTAACACTATATATTACTTTTATAATTAAAGAAATGTGATAATGTAATATTGTGACCATACATTATATTTATATATAAATAGAGACCATGAGTGTAAGTGTAATTACCTAGGTGTAGCTATGCTTATGGTGTCTCATCTTTCCTGTACTCTGTCATATGACACGTAGAAACTGCTGATGGTTTTGGCATCCACCACCTTCCCACTAGTTCCAAATGTCTACCTCTCTTTTTCTGGGGGGAGCCCCGTCGGCTCCCTGGAGCTTTACCAGGCTGATATGCTAATGTCAGACTTTGGCATCGGTCATGTGTATGGAGTTCTAGGACCTACCGGGGACCACGGCCAGAACCTGGCCCCCTCAGAGAGGCAAGGGGAGCAATGGCCTATAGAAACCCCCGTGTGGTAGGAAGCATTCTATGTCTGCCATCGACCGGGTCAAGCATCCAGAAAGGTAAGCATTCGAAAACAAACCCCTATTCTGGTGAAAATTGCTACCTAAAGCTGAACTAGTGGATGAAGCTCTTCAACAGAAAGCAAGGAAACTAGTATGACGTCATACGTCACCGCGCCGCTGTCTGCGCAGCGGCAAGCACGAATCCCCACAACAAAACCGAGCCAGTCCCTGAACCCTGGATGAATCGGATTGTGCCAATAAGCGTCCCAGAGGTTCAGGGACACCATCCAAGCGCCCGGCTCAAACAGGAGCCGAGTCTGAGACAGTGTGGTCATCCGTAAGGAGGTACAATGAACCCAGGGGTTCAGATGGGACAAGTCCAGAATGTACCAGAAGGTCCGCGCAGACGGGAAACAGACGGGAAACCCATCCGAGGGACGTTATCGCAGGGATGACTTCCCCACACAGAGCGCAGGGGAAGAAGCCTGCCCTGCCAGCCCCGAACCCTCCACAGGGGGAGGGGGCCACCCAACACCACCTGAGGCCATGTGAAACGACCAAAAAAGCCCACAAATCGTGGGATCAGGCATAAGTGAACAGCGCAAGCCTCCCCTCATCGCCCCGTCAATGGGGCGAACGGCGAAAGGGCTGGCGCCCCTTACGAGACCCAGAACCTCACACAGAGCGAACACCGCGCCGACGGCTGTTCCAACCGACGAAGGCTGGTCCAAAGGAGGAGCCGAACCCAAACCTGACACCAGTGGCCTACCACGACGAGATGAACCCCAAGCCTTGGCACGACTCTTCCATGAAGGCCTACCACGGGACCCCCGGAGAACCAGCAAGTCTGACATAGGATGGCAAGAAGCTGAAGCAGCCTGAATATTCTGCGCAACGGCTGAAGCCTCAAACAAGAGAGGGATAAAAGGGGAAGACATCCTAAGAGTCATGGCCCAATTGGATTCCACAGAGGAGGCAAGCACCGTTTGCCGACACGCAAGCCGGGAGGCACACAACAGAGCCACCGCATCCTGCAAGATTGGCACGATAAGCTTCAGCATGGCAGCCGATGAGCGAGCAGCTGAGGCCAAGGCGCCAGACCCAGGAACAGCCCCAAGTGCCCCCACATCCTCCGTGAGCCTGTCAGAAGACAGCTCCAAGAGGGAAAAGAAGCGCAAGGCCACAACCAAAAGGCCCCAAGCGCGCAAGTCCTCCGCCACCTGCGCCGCCAAAAGGGAGGGAACCTGCACATGGAGCTGAATGACACCAACATCCTGGGGAAGGGCAGAAGCAAACAAGCACTCATTGAGGTGCTCAAGGTCACCCCCCAGGAAAACCTGAAGCACCGTCGAAGCCTCCCGCCACTCAAGCGTGTGTGAACGGCAGGAGGAGTGCCAGGCCTCCAAGGCAAAGACAGGACAGTCCGCCAGCCAGGACGACTCCAGAACCTCATAACGGAGCCAGAAAGGGAACGAAGTCCCAAACTTGAAAGCCGAGGGGATCCATTGCCGAGGCATAAACCAGGTCATGCAGGAGGTTTGCCGCAAGGGCCGCCCGCACCGCAGCAGGTTGGACGCGATAAGCCAAAAACCTCTGGAAAGACGGAACCGAAGCACCCGGGAAACACAGAACCAAACGAGGGAAGGGACAGACACCAAATCCAACTCGGACGCAGAGGGGGGAAAAGAAAATCTTACTTCTTGTAACAGTAAACCCCGCTCAGAGGGTAGAAAAACCCAAGTGGGGTTCAGCGGGGCCCAAGGCCCCCAAGTCAGCCCCTCCCCAGCCCGAGGATCCTCTTCCGCAGGACCCGGGGCCGTGTCCTTCCCCCAAGCACCGACCCCACTAGACAAGGCCGGAGCAGCCACAGAAGCTGGATAGGAGGAGGCCCACTGGTCAGACCCAGAGGCTTTGGCCGGGGGAGGTGACTCGAATGCCTCCATCGCCACACCAGCGGGGGCATCCCCCGAGGCTGCCCGAGTCTCAAGACCAATGAACCCTTGCCCCGACTCCGAAACCCTCAGACATTTTGGGGCTAAAAGCAGAGGAGGGGGACCGGAACGAGCATCAGGAGGGGAAGGACCGGGAGGTGCGGACTGAACCAGGGTCGAAACGACCCCCACCCCCAAGTTCGGGTCCCCATAAGCAAAACGGGGCAGCCGCGGGGCATCCGGGTGAGCAACCAACCTGGCGCGTTGCAACAACTGAAACCTAGAATGCAACACCTGTGCAGCTTGTACCCGAAGATGATCATCCATAGATTGGGTAACTCAATTTAATAAGCAACTGTTGCTTAATAATTTAAGCAACAATACTCACAGGACTCAGGGTTGAAAGTGTCACTGACCCAACAGGCTGCGTGACGGAGGCAAAAACAGTGAGGATCGCCCTGAGACAAGGAGACCGAACAACCCTCAAACTCACACGAAGCGAGGGGAACCCCGGGGTCACATCCATCGGACCCATGCATCTCCTAGGGGATTCCCAGGGTCCTGAGCTTTTACTTGAATAGGACTCGTGCTCAGGTAAACCCAGGAAGGTACTGCTAACCTGCGCCCAAAACTATCAAACAAACTGTCTAAAGCTGAACCCCAGGGACGTGTGCACTCACGGAGACCAAGCAGGGGGCACCACCAAGTATCAGGGTGAGGCCAAACACCAGTGGCAAATAGGGCAGAGCCCCCCACCAAGGCAAAAACAAAAAGAAAAACAAAACCCCGCAAGAGGACAACGTACCCCAAAGAACAGAGCCGGCCACTGTGATAGGTGACAACTAGCTGCACAGCACCCTACGCCCCTTACCAGTGCGAAAACTGCCTCTTACCCTAAGGTTAACTAGGGGAGACAAAACCCCCAAGTACCCAAAGAGCAGCCGAGAAACTGAGCAGAAATACTGCCTAGCAGAAGCAGACCCAGAGGAACTTGTGGAAGGGAACCCCAAGCTCCAAGGGCAGTACTTAAAAGGCACCTAGGGAAGGGAACCTTGGGCGCATGTAGACCGAGTACTGAGGAATAACTCCTGGCTCTCGCACCCATGGAGTACAGCAGCCACACACAAGGCACAGCGCTGCAAAAATACTGGAGCCAGAGCACACAACCGAGCCGATAGCATCAGCCTGAAGAACTGGGATGTGGATCGCCGGTGCGGTAGGTCTGGAGCTGCCCCTTCCCCCCCAGGGGGGGGGGCTGTGCAGACAGCGGCGCGACAACAGATGACATCATACTAGTTTGCTCGTTTTTGTTTGTGGAGTTTTATCCACTCGTTTGACTTTTAGTTGCAATTTTCTCCAGAATAGGGGTTTGTTTTGGGACGCCTACCTTTCTGGGTGCCTAACCTGGTCGATGGCAGACATAGAATGCTTGCAATTACACGGGGGTTTCTATAGGCCATTGCTCCCCTTGCCTTTCTAGAGGGGGCCAGGTTCTGGCTCGTGGTCCCCGGTAGGCCCATAAGAACTCCATACACATGACTGATGCCAAAGTATTTATTTTAACATTAGTGTATCAGCCTAGTAAGCCCTGGGGAGCCGTAGGGGCTCCCCTCAGAAAATACTTGTTTCATGAATGCTTTATTGAATTAGATGGAGATTCTCCAGGCTGTCTCTGGCTGGCTGGCAGTCTTCTGAGCCATATCCCAGATGGGTCTTGGGGGGAAGGGAGGCAGGAAGTGAGGGTGTGGGGGAGAGCAGGAGTGAGGGAGTGGGGGAAGAGGTTCTGTGAGGGTGAGGGAGGGGACGATAGAGGTAGGCAGCCTGCTTGCCATGTGAGGACCCCCTAATGTCAAAACAAACCCAATACCGACCTCCGGTAATATCGACCGCCAGACCGGTATATGAGGCTCTAGATACCGGTCTCCCAAACCGGTCGTTATTACCGGCAGATTGGTATAAAAGAGGCTGTTAAATTGAGTGTATTATATATATGTATATAAAAGTTTGTGAGGGTACCACCTCTGGTGCCAATGTGGGGACCCAAAGCCTCGGAGAAGAAAATAAAAAGTATTTAGACGAGACCTTGTGGTTTCTCACTGAACACTAATATTATCTTCTACCACCCCCATTCTTTTGTATGTATACATATATATTTACTTTATTTGAACTTTGTTACAAAAAAGGAGTTACATATGGGTTACAAAGATGGTTATCATAGGTTGCCGAGTTCCTCCAGCTCCTCAGATGGCGGGCAGGAACCCTGGATGCAGTGCGCATTTCCCCTCTGTATCACCACACTGAGGCGCTGGAAAAGAAAGCTTGCAGCTCTCGGGTCCCTTGTTGTTTCAATGAGCCTAGAACCCAGTTCCTTCAAAAAACTGGTAGCACTTTTACCCCAGGCACCGAGTGTCTCGGAAGCAAAGGGGACAAAATTGTAGTGGTGATCCAGTTCTCTATACTTACGGGATTTGGCTGCTTCCCTGTGGGTGGCAGCGCCACCTGGCTGTGCAACACTGAGGTTAATGTAGGTGTTAGCCAGGGTTGATACGCACGTGTAGTCCCATACCAACTGCTTGCCATTCTTCCAGGGGTTCACTGTTGTTAAGGCCCTCTCGGGACGCAACGGGGTTCTTACTCTGA